TCTGCGTGACCTGTGAGGACCACTCGACGTCGCCCTCCAAGCACTAGCCCCATGCCCGACGTACTGCACAAGTAGCGCAACACCCTCTTCGCTGCAGCCATGTGCTCTGGTTGGTGTCTCCCAGAAGCAACAGAGTGTGCCAAGATGCTAAGAGGGTATGCAAGGTCAGGTCGTGTGCAGGTCATCAGTTACATGAGGCAGCCAACAAGCTCTGGATACGGCCCACTCGGCTCGAAGGACTCATCCGAAGGCAGAGCTGAGAGCGAGTGGCGAGTAGACAGAGGAGTGGCCTGAGGCGAGGAGTACGTGAAGTCGAAGCGCTGAAGGACCTGCTGCACCATGTGTGACTGAGTCAGGGTAATGGTGCGCTGTGCTCTGTCCCGGGTGATCTGCAAGCCAAGGTAGCTGCGCAGTTCACCCAGGTCTGTGCACGTATGTCTCTTCTGCAGCTCAGACTTCACGTGGGCGAGTCCAGCAGTGTTAGCTGTGGCAAAGACTAAGTCGTCGACGTACACGAGGATGTAGAACGGCGGCAAAGAGGTGTCGGTGCGCAAAAACAGCGACGGGTCGGCTGTAGAAGGAGCAAACCCAAGAGCCGCAAGTGTAGTCCTCAGTGTGTCGTGCCACTCACGGGGCGCCTAGCGGAGACCGTAGACTGGCCGCCGAAGGCTCCACTGGGTACTAGGAGGAAACGACCCAGTGAAGCCAGGTGGGCGGCGCAGCCAGATCTCCTCGTGCAGGCTGCCCTGCAGAAAAGCTGTGATGAAGTCAAGAGAGTGAAGCTCGTAGTCGCGCTGAGCGGCTATGTGCAGCAGCACCCGAAGAGTGGTCATCTTCGGGGTGGGAGAGAAGGTCTGAAAGTAGTCAACTCCCTGCCGCTGACTGAAGCCTCGAGCCACGTAACGCGCCTTGAAGACAGACGGAGAACCCGGCGGCCGCTTCACCCAGAAAATCCACATGCCACTGACGATGTTCGCCCCAGGTGGGGGAACCTCGTGCCTGTCGACTTCCAGGAAGCCATGTCTGCGTCCATGGCTGACTGCCACTGTGAGGAGTAGGGACCCTCGATCGCCTCAGCGTACGATCGAGGAGTCGGGATGTCTGTTGCATCCGGGTCTCCCTCATGGGCAATCAGCGTGGACACGAGATAAGGCAAAGCAGCAGCAAAGCACTGGAACTCCTCCTGCCTGTCCTCAAGGACGTCCGTGCTAAGAGCACACTCACCCCCAACGGACGGAGGATAGATAGACTCAAACTCAGCAACAAGACTAGCAGCGTAGTCTAGACGACAGCGAGCAGCAAAGTCGACAAGCTCAGCAACCAAGGCAGACGCAGCAGTGGACTCAAAGGAAGGGTCAGTGACAAAAGTAGCCAGGAGACTCGTGATAGTAGGTCTGGCAGCACGAAGAGAGTCCGACTTCGCGTCAGCAAGGACACGAAGAGAGGACTCTGGAGGAGACGGCAACGGGACACGCAGAGGAGCAGTGGAAGGACGCAGTGCCATCTGATGTGTGCCTAGGACCGCAGGAGGACGCAGACGTGCAGTACGACCACTAGTGCGAGCAGCAAGAACAGGCGACGCAGGACGAGTCGCAGGCTCACGACGCTTAGCAAGACCTCCAATAGGACCAGTGTAGGGAGAAGGAGCAGGCAGGGGGGAGGCGGGCTGTAACTGTGACTGAGAGTGGACAGGCAGTGGACACTCTAAGGGAGGGGCACGACTAGTAGAAGGTGGAAGACCAAGAACCTGCTCAAGGAGCGGAACGAAGTACGGCCTCGGCCGCGCATCGCATCCAGAACCAGCAGGGACAACACCAGTACCCCCAGCGGCAGCACCAGCGCCAGCAGCACCTCCACCTCCAACAGCGCCAACTCCAGGACCCTCAGAAGCACCAGCGCCAGCAGCACCTCCAGCGCCAACACCTCCAGCAGCTCCAGCTTCAGCAGCTCCAGCAGCACCAACCCCAGCAGGACCGGTAGCGCCAGTACCGCCAGCAGCTCCAGCAGTACCCCAAGTCCCAGCAGCTCCAGAACCGCCAGGACGAGCCCCTCCGGGACCAGCAGCAACAGTAGTACCTCCAGCTCCAGTAGCACGGCTCCAGCGCCGGGCAAACCACTCGCGCAGCTCCTGCAGAGAGAGTGGCTCCCGCCTCGAAGAAGTACCTCGCGAGGCCACACGAGCAGACCCAGCACCCCCAGGCTCAGCACCCCCAGACTCCGCACCCCCAGGCTTCGCACCCTTGGACTCAGCACCCCCAGGCTCCGCAGTCTCAAGCTCAGCACCCCCAGACCTGGCACCCGCAGGCTCAGCACCTCTAGCAGTACCAGAGTCAACACCTACCTCAACAGGCTCGATTGCGTCTACCTGGGACACACCTGACGGGGCAGGACCCTGAGGGGGGAGGGGGTCTACCGGGGGAGGACCTGGCGTAAGGAAGAGCGGCGGCGGGGGGAGGGGCGCAGTGTGGTAGGGGAAGAGACGGTGGTAGGGCACCGACTCGTCAAAGGTGACGTCCTGGGAGGACAGAACACGGCGCGAGGTGGGGTGGTAAAACTGCCACCCAGGTGCGTCAGGGGGGAAGCCAAGGAAGACGCAGGGAACAGCACGGGGGGACAGCTTGTCCGCATACAAGTCGCGAACAAATGCCCGAGATCCCCAGACCCGAAATGCAGACGCATCGCCAAACTTCCCCGTCCACCGCAGGGTGGGGGAGGTCTCTTGCAAGGAGACCCGGGGCTGGAGGTTGAGCTGATGCGCTGCGTACTGAACCGCAAACGGCCACAGAAAATGGGGGGCAGCCGCATGGATCATGGACGTACGAGCGACGTCCATGACCATGCCAATGCGGCGCTCAGCAATCCCATTTTGCTGTGGAGAGGCCAGAAGCGTGAAGGTCTGGCGGATGCCTTGTGCTCGACAGAAGGCTCCCAGACGGGCAGAGGAAAAATCCCCGCCTCTGTCAGAGTGCAGACGCAGAACAGGAAAGTCCAAGCCAAAACTCTCTCTGAGCTGGAGACAAGCTGCGCGGATCCAGTCGATCAACACCTCAGTGACGTCACCCTTGCTGCGCAAGGGGAAGACTGTGGTTTAACGCGAGTAGTCGTCAACCACCAACAGGAAGTAACGCTCGTGACCCTGGCCACGGACGCGGGCGGGGCCCCACACGTCGATGTGAAGATTCTGTAGCGGAGCCTCGGTTGGAGGAAACTCGGAGGAGTGAGGAGCGGCGCACTGCCGCCCCTCGACGCAGGGAACGTAGGTAGGGGCAGGCCCCGGAGGGAGGGGAGGGAGGGACCGGGGGAGACCAGAGACAAGGTAACGGGAGGCCATGCCTCGGAGACGAGGCAGGGAGGGGTGACTTAGGCGGTGGTGCCAGAGGAGGGTCCGGTGGGACAGGAGACGACACGAGCAGGGAGCAGACTCAGGACCAGATCTGGACGCTGCAGCAAACACCTGACCCGACGCAGCTACCTGACCAGACACTGTCAGCATTTATATATGTAACTGCCTGTAGCTGTAGTTAGTGTAGTTATTACAAACTTTGTTAGGTGGTGCACCTTCTTTGTTCACATGCATATATGTTCTTGTAAACCTATAGTGAACACACATTCCCAACTTCCTCGACTCTCCCTTGGCACGACTCACTCGATCCTCCTTGGCCTAGGCTACTAAGCCTAGGCCGTCCTATTCTCTCATTACCTATTATGCTAGTATCACGACATGGATTCAGAGCATGTTTCGTCCTGGCATGTGGGCCCGCCTTATGCTTCTGCTGCTGTTCTTTTCCGGTCGCGCGCCTAGGGCGCGTGGCGATTTTCATTCTGTCCCGCCCTAGGATGGCGAGTGACACCTACTCTGCCCGTCGCGCGCCACATGGCACACGACGGTGCCCTAAACCTGCCCGTCGTGCGCCCCGTGGCACGCGACGGTGCCCTGCCCGTCGTGCGCCCCGTGGCACGCGACGGTACCCTGCCCGTCGTGCGCCCCGTGGCATGCGACGGTGCACTAAACTACCTACCTACCTGAGCCGCCGCGTACCCGCCCCTGGCGCACTCGGCGGTGTCCTTGTCTCACTCGCGCCTGCACTCGCTGTAGCCGCCCCTGCACCACCCGGCGCCTGCCCTTGGAGCAGCCGCCCTCGCTCCTGCACTCGGTGCAGCCGCCTCTACCTCACCCCGCACCTGCACTCCCTGCAGCCGCCCCTGACCTACCCGCGCCGACCATCTGTAGCCGCTCTGCGGCTTTCTCCCCGCCCACCCCCTCCTCCTTCGTTTCCTTGCAGCCGTGGGGCGGAGGGTATGGGGGTGGCGGGTGTTGGGGTGATGGGTGGTATGCTTCCCTTCCCCTCCTCCTCCTTTCTTTCCCACTGCTGCAGCTGCCGCTGGGGGGAGGGTGTGAGGGTGTGGGGGAGCTGGGGGAGTCGCACTGGGATGGCGGGTGTGAGACCAACTTCCCTTCCCCTCCTCCTCCTTTCTTTCCCACTGCTGCAGTTGCCGCTGGGGGGAGGGTGTGAGGGTGTGGGGGAGCTGGGGGAGTGGCACTGGGGTGGCGGGTGTGAGACCATCAAGCAGCCGTCCCTCCTCCTCTCCTCTTTTCCCCCCTCTGCTGCTTCTGCAGCAGTGTGGGGGGGAGGGGGAGGGGGAGGGTGAGGAGATGGCAAGAATACTTGCTGTACCTTTGCTGCTGTACTACCTACCTACCTACCTGCTACTGCTGCTGCTTGTGTACCCCTGCAGGTTGTGTTCTGCACAAACTCCTGCTGCAGGCAGTTATGGGGGAGTGTCAGCATATATATATGTAACTGCCTGTAGCTGTAGTTAGTGTAGTTATTACAAACTTTGTTAGGTGGTGCACCTTCTTTGTTCACATGCATATATGTTCTTGTAAACCTATAGTGAACACACATTCCCAACTTCCTCGACTCTCCCTTGGCACGACTCACTCGATCCTCCTTGGCCTAGGCTACTAAGCCTAGGCCGTCCTATTCTCTCATTACCTATTATGCTAGTATCACGACAGACACAGCAACCGGAGGAGACTCAGTAGTCAGTGTGTACAGGCTCGACCCCGGCTGACGGGTAAACGTGGCCAAGTGTCGGCCCGTCCGAGCACACGTACAGTGGGTCACCCGCTGACTCACAGGAGTGAACTGGTCAACCCCCCCATCTTGTAGATCAGCTCCACTCACCAAGTTCGTAGAGAACGAGGGGAGGTAGAGACCTGACAGGGTGCCAGAGGGGGCTTCCGGGCACGATAAGAAAGTGGAGAAGCTAGCAAGGACAGGACCGCAAGGGAGACTGCAACCGGCCGACTAAGCGGCGTAAGCGTGGTGCGGTCTCGAAAGAAGGAGCGGGAAGCACCCGAGTCAAGGGTGAAGGTGTGGAAGGCCTGAGCCTACGTAGTACCTGAGAGAGCAGACTCACCAGCACCTAGGGCAGCAGACGCACTAGCACCTAGAGCAGCAGCCTCACCAGCACCTAGAGTAGCATCCTCAATCCCCGGGTCAGGCGGAACACACAGGTAACAGTCACCCTCCTCACTAGTAGACACAACATACATGGCAGCAAGAATAGCATCATAGTCAAGATCAAAGATGGTAACCCCCGCCCTAGACAGATCTCCCTAGCGAGGGATCTCCGAGGCCTCAGAGAACTGGTGACGCCACGCGTCCGTCAGGCGGCCGAAGCAGCGCTGGGTGGAGTGCGGGCCCCCGCACTGCTCACCAACGCGGTCGCCGGTACAGAGGACGTAAGTGCAGGGACCAGTACCCCCACCGCGTTGACGCGCAGCGTACCACTCACGAAGCTGCTGAGGGGACAGGGTCTCACGACTGCGCTGCTGCTGCTGGCGCGGACCACCACCGGATGCACTCCTCTGTGCAGAGCCTCGACCAGCTCCACCGCCGCCGCCACCTCCGCCGCCTCCGCCACCTCTGCCGCCTCCGCCACCTCCGCCGCCTCCGCTCCCTCCGCCACCACCGCCGCCTCCTCCGCCTCCACTGCTGCCACCGCCGCCTCCACCCCCGCCACCACTCTCACCACCACCCCCACCCCCTCCACTGCCTCCACCACCACCTCCACCGCCCCCGCCAGCCCCTCCAGCGCCCTTGCCCCCCTTGCCCTTGCCGGTGCGGCGTCTCTCGCTAGGGGCAGACGCAGCGCCGACCCCGTAGAAACCAACGAGGTCGGCAGCAGCAGCAGAAGCAACAGAGGGCAAGAGGGGGGAGGGGGAACACCCCTGAAAGACGGGGGTGCGAGGGTCACCACGAGAGGCTCCTACAGCAACTATGCTCTTCTCTGCTGCTAGGAGGCGCTCCTCGAGGAGGTCAACGGTGAGTGTGGTGGGGCAAACTGAGAGGAAGTGGTCCCTGACTAAGCAAAGGGAGTCAGGGAGCCGGGTGACTATGTAGTAGAGGGTGATGTACATGGGGGGCGGGGTCTTGGCGCAGAACTCTGCAGGAAGCGCAGCGCGGTAGCGAGTGTCACTAGTGGGGGTGCGTAATGAGATCAGCGACTGTGGGAATGGCAGCAAGGTCAGGGAACAGGTACGGTAGCATGAGGCGGCTAAGCGCAGCAGTGGCAGGGGAGGAGTAGCGTGCAACTACAGCGTCGTACAAGGTCTGAGCACTCCTGTACTGGCTAAAGCGCGCACGCTCAGTGGTCGGTAAGTGGCGACGCACAGCAAGACGGGCAGCAGCATCGCGTGTGGCCCACTGTGAGCGAACAGTGCTGTCAGCAGTAGCAGGCGGGGCAGGGGAGGCACCAGAGGTGAGATCGAACAGGGAGAGTCTGTCTGCCCTATCGCACTGTAGGAACAGCTAGAGGTCATCGACCCAGACCTCAAAGTCAACAGCACGACCCTCAGTATCACAGGTAAGAACACTGGGGGTAGCCATGTCTGCAGTGGCCTAACAGGGAGTGATCTCACCAGTCCGAGTAAGTAGTGCCGGGGCGCGCCGGTAGGAACAGTACTGGCTCGACGGCAGGGCGGCTCGGCGGCTCGGCTGCTGGGCGGCTTGGCTGTCGGGCGGTTCGGCTGTCGGGCGGCTCGGCTGTCGGGCGGCTCGGCGGCTCGGCTGCTGGGCGGCTCGGCGGCTCGGCTGCTGGGCGGCTCGGCGGGTCGGTTGCTGGGCGGGTCGGTTGTTGGGCGGCTCGGCTGCTCGGCGGCTCGGCTGCTGGGCGGCTCGGCTGTCGGGCGGCTCGGCGACTCGGCTGCTCGGCGGCTTGGCTGCTGGGCGGCTTGGCGGCTGAAGGGGCCGCTAGGGGCGGCGACGAGGCAGCGTAGGGAGGGGAGCGGCGTCGGGGCCGCTAGGGGCGGCGAGGGGGGCCGCGTATGTAGGGAGGCGGCGGCGAGGCCGCTGAGGGCGGCGATGGGGCCGCTAGGGGCGGCGACGGGGCTTCGTAGGGGCGGCGACAGGGCCGCGTAGGGGCGGCGACAGGGCCGCGTAGGTAGGGAGGCGGTGACGGGGCCGCTAGGGGCGGCGACGGGGCCGCTTAGGGGCGGCGACGGGGCCGCTAGGGGCAGCGACGGGGCCGCTTAGGGGCGGCGACGGGGCCGCTAGGGGCGGCGACGGGGCCGCGTAGGTAGGGAGGCGGCGACGGGGCCGCGTAGGTAGGGAGGCGGCGACGGGGCCGCTAGGGGCGGCGACGGGGCCGCTAGAGGCGGTGACGGGGGCGCGTAGGGGCGGCGACGGGGCCGCGTAGGGGCGGCGACGGGGCCGCGTAGGTAGGGAGGCGGCGGCGGGGCCGTAGGGGCGGCAACGGGGCCGCTTAGGGGCGGCGACGGGGCCGCGTAGGTGGAGAGGCGGCGACGGGGCCGCTAGGGGCGGCGACGGGGCCGCTAGGGGCGGCGACGGGGCCGCGTAGGGGGGCGGCGACGAGGCCGCTAGGGGCGGCTACGGGGCCGCGTAGGGGCGGCAACGGGGCCGCTAGGGGCCGCGAGGGGCGGCACGGGGGGCCGTGGGAGGGGCCTCTAAGGGACCTTGACGGAAGGGCGGCCCACAGGGCACGCCTCGGGCAGCACCGACTGGCGCTTCGGTCAGAAAAAATTTCAGTGGTGGGCCCAAGGAAGCTTTCCTACTAGGGAACCTGCTCTATACCATGTGAAAGAATGAGGAATGAATGAACTAGCACAAGGTTGGGTACAAGTAGGAAACCCTAGGAATCTGTACCCCATAGTGTCTACCCCACTATAGCCTAGACAAGCTATATAATATGAGTTTGACATATACCTTAGTAACAGACCAGGTGTTTTAAGAAGTGTAGATTCTTTTTATGGTTTTTGTTTTTTCTCTTCTACTTTTGAAGGTGCAAAAACAAAACTACCTCGAAAAATAAAAGTAGCTCTAGTCGATTGCAATAGGTTGCTCTGCAACCCAAAAAAAAAAAAGAGATAGTGTCAAGTCAATTATTCCTACAAATCCTTTCCTCATCCATCTTGTGCCCATTACCGGCATCTCTCTTCCGGTTCATATCTGCGAAAGGGCGTGGTGGTGCTTGCATATGCATTTTGTGAGTCACAATTCGGGAAGCGACTTGAGAAGACCTTGGAGTGAGAAGGGAGGACATTTGAAGGGAGGGAAGGGGAGTGGTGGTGTGGGAATAAGGCTGGAGCAGAGGCGAGGAGGAGGAGAGGAGTGAGGCGAGCAAGGGCAGCGGGCCCGGGGAAATGGGCATGTGAGAAGCGAAAGGACAGACAAGGGGAGTGGGAGGGAATGTGGGGAAGCAGAGTGGGGCGCAGTAGGAGCAGCGCGTGGGCGACGAGGAGTCGAGCGGCAAATGAATTTAGCGAGTGAGTGAGCGATGGGAGGACGTAGGGGGAGAAAGGAGGGATGGGAATCGAGAGAAGACGGAGCTGTGAGGCGGAGACGGGCGGGGAGGCACGGGAGGAGGGAGGGAGGGAGGGAGGGAAGGGGTGGACGGCAGAGGGAAGGACAAGGTGGGAGGGAGGGAGGGACAAGGGGGGAAACGGAGGGAAGGACAAGGGGGAAGGGAGGGAGGGAAAAGGGGGAAACGGAGGGAAAGAAAAGGGGAAACAGAGGGAGAAACAGGGCATACGAATGTTTGACAGAATAAGTATGTGATGGAATGAGTGTTTGACGGCATGAGAGGAGGGAGGGAAATGGTGAGGGATTGGAGGAGGGAGGGAAGTGGTGAGGGATGGGATGAGGGAGGCGAAGAGGAATGTGAGGATAGACGTCGGACATTGGGCGGTATGTGGGGATTATTCCTGGAAAGCATGGGGGATGGGCGATATGAGTCGGAGAGAGACGGAAGGAGAGAGGGAGAGGGATGGGAGGAGAAAAGCAGTGAGGAGAGGGAGGACAAAGGAGGAAAGGGTGTAGGGTGTAAAATTGAAGAGGGAAGGGATGCATCAGAAGCAAGGACAACAGAGAGGGAGGATGGGAGGGTAAGCATGGTGACGGGAAGGGAAGATCCAAGCACGGATGAAACAGTGAGTAAGACAATGGGGTAAATGGAGGGAAATGGGCATGGGGGAAACGGAAGGAATGACAAGGGGAGTGGGGGACGAAGCGGGGAAGCAGCGTGAGAAGAGGGAAAAGTGGAGAGGAGCTGAGAGGGAAAGGAGGAGAGGGGCTGAGAGGGAAGGGAAGAGGGGCTGAGAGGGAAAGGAGGAGAGGGGCTGAGAGGGAAAGGAGGAGAGGGGCTGAGAGGGAAAGGAGGATAGGAGCTGAGAGGGAAAGGAGGAGAGGGACTGAGAGGGAAAGGAGGAGAGGGGCTGAGAGGGAAAGGAGGAGAGGGGCTGAGAGGGAAAGGGAAGAGGGGCTGAGAGGGAAAGGAGGAGAGGGGCTGAGAGGGAAAGGAGGAGAGGGGCTGAGAGGGGGGCTGAGAGGGAAAGGAGGAGAGGGGCTGAGAGGGAAAGGAGGAGAGGGGCTGAGAGGGAAAGGGAAGAGGGGCTGAGAGGGAAAGGAGGAGAGGGACTGAGAGGGAAAGGAGGAGAGGGACTGAGAGGGAAAGGAGGAGAGGGAATGAGAGGGAAAGGAGGATTGGAGGCGGAAGACGCGGAGAAGCGCGACGACGAACAGATGGCAGAGCCATTGATGTGACTGCATGCGGAAATGAAAGGATGCGGTCCAGGCAGGAGAACTGAAACCGTGGTGTGGAGACAGGCGGGAGTGCCGCGCGCTACAAGGTGAGCGAGCGACGGAGTGAGTGAGCACGGGAAGAGAGTGTGTGAGCGACAAGACACATTGAGGGACGGGAGTACGTGAGCCGCGAGAGTGAGTGTGCGGAACGGGAGTGTGTCAGCGACTGGACCTAGGTCATCAGCTGACGCAAGACGATTGCCCTGTTTGGGCAGTGGGTTCGTTCGAGCGACGGGGGGAGTGCGCGACGGATCGAGTGAGGGACGGATGACGAGCGGCGGAGAGGTAAGGGATGGACGGGAGGGAGGAGAACGACAGGAGCGAATGCGGGACGGAAGCGAAGCGCGGGACAGAAGGGATGGAGGGTGTTGGGCGACGGGAGGGACGGGACTTACGTCCGCAACGGGAAGGACGGGAGGGACGGAGGAGGGACAGAAGGCATGACTGGGACGGGAGTGACGGGAGCGGCGCCCAGGACAGATGCAATAAGGGCGACGGGAAGAGCGGGAGCGATGAGAAGGACTAGAGAGACGGGAGGGACGAGTGCGACTGGAGAAGGAGGAGCGGCGGATACAAGAAGAAGAGATGGATTATGAGATTTCACTTGCGCCTACCTCGAGCGATCAGATGAATTGGGAGTGTCGTGAGGGACGGTGGAGACCTATGCTATGCAACCCGACGGAAGTCCCCACCTAAAGTCCTAGGTGCTGGGCGTAGTTATCGATAGCTGGCCATGTTGTGGGCTACGGAGCCTACTACTAAACGAGTCTAGAAAGGTAGCTTCAAGCTTTAAGTTTCTGGAAGTGTGAACAGTGGTGTCAGTTTTTGTTTTTTCTGGCGAGGGTCGTCAGTGGTTTTGCTGTTGTGCTTTTATCCAATCACATTCCTGCGCTTCAAACACCTTCACAGTGGATCGCGAGAGAGCCCCACAGAAAAGCAGGTTACCTTGTTCACCTGTGAAATCATGTTCAAGAATCTTGAACTTGAACCCTCGCCATTCTAGACTCGGGCTTTAATCAAAAATTGGTTTTTGTAATCCATGTTAGGAAACGAATTGATTTCGATGGGAATGACAAGAAATTCACTGTTCCTCTGATTGATCAGGCCCCTGCTCTGGTTTCGTCTTATACCAAAACATAACCTCCCCTTAGGGTGAGCTCAGCATGTCTGATTCTCGGAATAGGTAAAGCAGAGTATAAAGTCGATTACCCTGGCAATGCAATGGGAAGTGTCTCATAGCTCGACGCATCAGTCCTATCCTCATATCAAGATTGTACTTTTTGCCTGGTAAAACTAGCGAGAGGTTTTGGGTTTAGGGGAATTTTCAGTGGGAGGTTGATATGAGATTCTCTTGATACGAGGATAGGAATACGCTCACTCATAGCAGTGGAGCTACGATTAGGCCGGCCCATTCCCCAGCTCCGCCTTCTCAAATTTGCACCACCATGCTCTTGTGGACACCACTATTCTGACCCTACCCTCCCTAGCCATGCCCTTCCCTGCCCAACCTCCATGAGCCTACTCATGTTCACGACGCAGTAAAGCATGAGGTCGCTAGGATAGCATGAGAGATTGGGTTCACTATTTGTGTCGAGGGCCCTACCTTGCTGCCAGATCATGTGGTGGATATCAGTTTCGTTGACCCTTCTACAGGAATCAAGTGGGCTCTAGATATTTCCGTCATTGACCCGATGCAGCAGAGGGCACCGGCTATGGCGACTCAACGAAGCAGAGAGAATCACAGAAGCGGCACACCCGGCCCTCAGATTCGTTTTAGGGGACCCTGATGCCTCAGAGCAAATCCCCAGAAGTAGGAAGAATGCCTTGATTTTTTCAGGGCAAGATGTTAGGGAAATCCTGATTCTTCAAGGCAGCGCAAGGTTTCCTTCCTGGTGTATCAAGGGGCTGTTCATGCCCCCAACCTGATTTCTAGAGGATAGCTTTCAAGTTCGAAGTACTACCGTACCTATTTGTTGTTGTTCTCTTGTCCTGTTAAGCGACTCAACCCGACCCTGCATTCTGCCATGACAAGGGACGCATGTTTTGTCAAACTTGTATGCTATGGTCTATGTAGGCTGTAGCGGGGTAGACAATATGGGGTACAACACTTTTAGGTTTTCCCACTTGTACCCACCTGTTTGCTAATTGATTCATCCCTTGTTCTAACTTTCAACACGGTTTTAGAGCAGGTTCCCTAGTGGGAACGTTTTTTTAGGGCCCACCACGAACTTTTTTTTTCTGCCCTGCCCGAAGCGCACTGCCCTGCCTGCGCCCTCGAGCGCCTGCCCTCCCCGCGCCCTAGAGCGCCTGCCCTACTCGCGCCCTCGAGCACCTGCCCTACCCGCGCCCTCAAGCGCCAGCCCATCGCCCTACCCTGCAAGCCACGCGCGGGCCTGTCCTGCACCCGCGAAGCCGCCTCTGGACCCCGGGGCGCTGCCCCTGGACCCCACGACGCCGCCCCTGGACCCCGCAACGCCGCCCCTGGACCCCGCGACGCCCCTGCGGGACCCGGGCGTCGCCCTTGCTCGTCGCGACGCCCTTGTAGGACGCGCGTGGCGCCGCTCCTACTCGTCGCAAGCCCCTGCGGGATCCGGGCGTCGCCCCTGCTCATCGCGACGCCCCTGCGGGACCCGCGCGGCGCCGCTCGTGCTCGTCGCAACGCCCCTGCGGGACCCGCGCGGCGTTGTTTATGTTTGTTGCGGCACCCCCTGGGCGCCGTCCCTGCTCGTCCGCCCCCCCCCCCCCCCCCCCCCCCCCCCCCCCCCCGCGGGCCGCCGCGCCCTGCCTCATCTGCGGCCCGCCCGCGCCCTGCCCCACCCCGCGCCTGCCCTTGGGGCGGCCGCCCCTGCCCTGCCCTGCCGCCGTCGCGTTTGCAACCGCCGTCGCGGCCCCGCAGTAGCCGCCGTCGTGTCTGCAGCCGCCGTTGCGGCCCCGTCGTAGCCGCCGTCGCGGCCCCGCTGTAGCCGCCCGTCGAGCGCCTGCAGCCACTCGTCGAGCGCCGGCCCTAGCCTACCCGTGCCCGTTGAGCACCTGCCCACCGCCACCGGTGGCATCGGCCCTACCCGCCTCTGGTGAGCACCTGCCCTACCCGCACTGCCCGCGCGCCTGCCTTACCAGCGTGCTGCCGCGCGTGCCGCGCCTGCCTGCCAACCGAGCCGCGCCGCTCGGCCAAGCCGCGCCGCCTTGCCCTACTGAGCCGCGCTGCTCTGCCCTGCTGCTACTGCTGTTCCAGCTGTCACTGCTAGTACTGCTGTTCCAGCTGTCACTGCTAGTACTGCTGCACTGCCCCTCCTGCTGCTACTGGCGGTGGCCAGATGCAGCTCCAGTGACGTCCGCGTGAGTCCCTCACACCGCAGCAGCTTCGTGAGTGGTACGCTAGTTGGGGTTGTAGGGGTGGCCGTGGTGGGAGTCGCCCTGGAGCGGGTCGTTCGAGAGCTTCTTTTAGTGGCCAGGTGCAGCTGCAGCGGCGTCCGCGCGAGATCCTTTCGCCCCAGCAGCTTCGTGAGTGGTACACTCAGAGTAGAGGGTCACAGAGTACTGCTCGCTGCCCGTACGTCATTCGCACAGGTGCTCGGGCTGGTCAGCCTTGCGGGACAGTTGGTCACATAGAGTCCTGCTGCTTCTCCTGTCTGAGCGACGCCTGGCGTACAGAGTTTGGCGACGACGCTGAGCTCCCCTTCTGGCTGGAGGTGCAAAGGCGGAGGGTAGAAATCTGTGATCTTGACTATGATGCTATCCTCACTGCCATGTTTGCATTGCCTAATAGTGCTGGGCGCTAGTGAGTCTACTGCTCTAGGTGCTGGTGAGTCTGCTCTCTCTGGTACTGCACCTGCTGCGGCCTTGCACACCTTCACGCTTAACTCAGGAGCTTCACGCTTCTTCTTTCGCGACTGCACCACACTCACGCCGATCAGTTGGCCGGTTGCAGTCTCCCTGGCTGACCCCTCTGGGGGTCCAGTCCTTGCACACTCCTCTGCTGTTCTGCCGTGTCTGATGGTCCCGTCATGCTCACTGTCGGGTCTTCACCTCCCCTCGTTCTCTACGAACTTGGTGAGTGGAGCTGACCTTCAGGACGTGTGGGTTGACCAGTTCACTCCTAGAGGTCAGCGGGTGACCCACTGTACGTGCACACGGACGGGCCGACACCTGGCCACGTTCAACCAGTAGCCTGAGTCGAGCCTTTACACACTGACTACTGTTTCTCCTCCGGTCGCTGAGTCTGGTCAGGTCGCCGCGTCGGGTCAGGTGTTTGCTGCAGCGTCCCGGTCTGGTCCTGAGTCTGCCCCCTGCTCATATCGCCTCCTGTGTCACCAGACTCTCCTCTGGCACCACCGCCTTGGTCACCCCTCCCTGCCTCGTCTCCGAGGCATGGCCTCCTGTGTCCTTGTCACTGGTCTTCCCCGATCTCTCCCTCCCCTTCCCCTGGGGCCTGCCCCTACCTGCGTTCCTTGCTTCGAGGGGCGACAGCGCCGCTCTTCACTCCTCCGAGTTCCCTCCGACGGAGGCTCCCTGCAGACGCTTCACATGGACGTGTGGGGCCCAGCCCGCGTCCGTGGACAGGGTCACGAGCGCTACTTTCTACTGGTCGTCGACGACTACTCGCGTTACACCACAGTCTTCCCCTTGCAAGGGTGAGGTCACTGAGGTGCTGATTGGCTGGATCCGCGCAGCCCGTCGCCAGCTCAGCGAGAGTTTCGGCTCGGACCTTCCTGTTCCGCGTCTGTAGTCCGACAGAAGTGGAGAGTTTTCCTCCGACCTTCTCAGGGCCTTCTATCGTGCGGAAGGCATCCGCCAGACGTTCACGCTTCTGGCCTCTCCACAGAAAAATGGGATTGCTGAGCGCCGCATTAGCATGGTCATCGACGTCGCTCGTACGTCCATGATCCATGCGGCTGCTCCTCATTTTCTGTGGCCGTTCGCGGTTCAGTACGCTGCGCATCAGCTCAACCTACAGCCCCGAGTCTCCATGCCGGAGACCACACCTGCTCTGCGGTGGACAAGGAAGGTTGGCGATGCGTCTGCGTTCTGTGTCTTGGGATCTCGAGCTTTTGTCCGCGATTTGTCCGCGGACAAGCTGTCCTCCCATGTTGTTCCCTACGTCTTCCTTGGCTTCCCCCCTGACGCGCGTGGTTGGCAGTTTTACCACTCCACCTCGCGCCGTGTTCTGTCCTCTCAGGACGTCACGTTTGACGAGTTGGTTCCTTACTACCATCTCTTCCCCTACCGCACTGCCCCCCTCCCCGCCCCCGTCGCTCTTCCTAGCGCTTGGTCCTCCTCCGGTAGACCCCCTCACCCCTCAGGGTTCGACCCCCTCCCCCCTTAGGGTCCTGCTCCCTCAGGTGTGTCTCAGGTAGACGCGGTCGAGCCTGTCAAGGTAACTGTTGACTCTGGTACTGCTAGGGGTGCTGAGCCTGAGCACGTGGAGCCTGGGGGTGCTGAGACAGAGCGTGTGGAGTCTGGGGGTGCTGAGCCTGGGGTCACTGAGTCATAGGGTGCGGAGCCTGGGGGTGCTGGGCGTGAGGGTGCTGAGCCTCCGGGTGCTGAGACTGGGGATGCTGAGTCTGCTGGAGTTCCTGCAGGTGCCTCATCTCGGTGGGAGCCTTTCTTTCCACAGCAGTTGCGCGGGTGGTTTGCTCGCCGCTGGAGACTCCACCGAGGTGCTGCTGGTGGAGGTGGAGCTGCTGGAGGTCCTGTTGGTGGTGCTACTGGTGTTGGAGCTGCTGGGGGAGCTGGACATGCTGCCGGAGCTGGAGCTGCTAGAGGTACTGCTGGTGCTGGTGCTACTAGAGGTGCTGGAGCCGCTGGTCCCGGAGGTGCTCGTACTGGAGATACTGGAGCTGCTGGGCCTGGTGGTGCTGCTGAAGCTGGAGTTGCTGGCGGTGCTGGAGATGGTGAGGCTACTGGTGCAGGTGCTGCTGGAGGTGCTGGAGCTGGCGCTACTGGAGCTTCTGGGGCTTCTGGTGGTCCTGCTAGAGCTGGAGCTACTAGAGGTACTGGAGTTGGCGCTGCTAGAGCTGCTGGTGGTGCTGCAGGGGTTGGAGCTGACGCTGGGGGCTGGTGCTGTCTCTACTGGTTCTGGAGGCGCTGCACGGCCGCGGCCGTACTTCGTTCCGCTCCTTCAGAAGGTTCCTGGTCTCCCACCTTCTACTGGTCCTGCTCCTTCCTTAGAGTGTCCACCGCCTATCCAGTCGCATTCACAGTTACAGCCCACCTCCCCACTGCCTGCTCCTTCTCCTTACATTGGTTCGACCGGAGGGTTTACGGAGCGTCGTGAGCCTGAGTCTCGTCCCGCGTCGCTTGTTCGTGCTGCTCGCACTAATCATCGTGGTTCGCGTCAGCATCCTCCTCCTGTCCCTGGCAGGCACCAGATGGCTCTGCATCCTTCCACTGCTCCACAGCGTGACCCTCTTCCGTCTCCTCCTGAGTCCTCTCTTCCTGCCCTTGCTGACCCGGAGTTTGACTCCCTTCGTGCTGCTAGTCCTACTGTCACGCGTCTCCTGGCCACTGTTGTCACTGACCCTTCCTTTGAGTCCACTGTTGCGTCTGCCTTAGTTGCTGAGCTTGTCGACTTTGCTGCTCACTATCGTCTAGACTACGCCGTTAGCCTTGTTGTTGAGTCCGAGTCTGTATGTCCTCCGTCCGTCGGGGGTGAGTGTGCTCTTAGCACGGACGTCCTTGAGGACA